TTTTTTTTTTTTTTTTTTTTTTTTTTTTTTTTTTTGTACGTAAATACATAAATAAAAAGAAAATGTAAAATATACCACTTTTTTTTTTCTGCATACATTAAATATTTCGTACATAAATTTATTTGAATTATTTATATATAATTAATAGTATTTTTCAATTTTTCCAAAATCCTAAAATTATTTTTTTTTTCATTATTTTAATTCTTAGGATAAATAAATAAAAAAAAAAAAAAGCAAAACACATTTTTGTACCTGCATAATTATATATATATCTATATTTCATTTTTTTTTTTTTTTATATTTATGCACACATAAGAACTATTTTAATTAAATACGACAAAAGTAAAAAATTTTGAATTTTTTTTCTCTCTTTTTTTTTTTTTTTTTTTTGAACAAAAATACATAATAACAATATTTTTTATATGTTTATACACATGATTAAAAATATTTTTAATTAAATTAAAACTAGAAAAAAAATGATTTAAGAACATTCTGTTTATGATATTTTTTTTTTTTTTTTATTTTCATTAGGTTTTTATTAATTTTCCAATTTTCTTTATTATTTATAATAAAATTAAGATATTAATCTTTTTTTTTTTTTTTTTTTTTTTTTTTGCCAAATATTTTGTTAAATATTGATACTAGATTTTTTTTTTTTTTTTTTCAATTACGTTTATTTTTATAAATAAATTTTTCCCAATTTATCATATTTTATTTTAATATATTTTTTTACTACTTTTATATGTTTTATGTAATTAATATTTATAAGTATAAAAATACATATGTATATTTATGTTTATATACATATATATACATATATTCATATTTATATAATTTACAATTATTATATGCGTGTATTTTTTTTTTTTTTTTAAGTCAATGCTTTACACAAAAAAAAAAAAAATATATATATATGAAACATAATAAAAAATACAAGATTTATGATTAAATTTTAATATTTCAATTTTTTTATGAAATTTTTTTTCATAAACAAATTTCTTAATAGAAAGGAAAATAAAGTAAGGAAAAAATAAATTATATTTAGCATAATTTACAATAAATATCAACCAAAAAGAGTTTTATAAAGCATAAAACATATTGCATTATATATCTTTTTTTTTTTTTTTTTTTTTTTTTTTTTATTATTGTTATAAAACATATTTTTTTTATTATGAATTATTTTTTTTTTTAATAAAATATTTTTTTTAATATAAAATTTTTTTTAATATAAAATATTTTAATATTAATTATTTCTTTTAATGAAAAAGATAATTAGTAGTATATTTTAGCATACATATTAATTTTTTTTTTTTTTTTTTTTTTTCATTAAGTACATATTACATATATATATATGTACATATTTATATAGGACAGCTTATTAATGTAATAAAAAAACTTTATATATTTTTTTTGGAGTATCTTTGTTCGTCTTATATATACATATATATATATATATATTTATTTAAATCATAAAATATACTTTAACTTCAAATAAGTTGTTTATTTTTTTTTTTTTTAAATGATTAAAATTAATTTATAAACATATATATATATATGTATATATAAATATATGTTTATTCTCATATATTAAAATATCCTTTTTTTTTTTTTTTTTTTTTTTTTTTTTTAATATAATATATATATTCTTATTCATTTTTATGTAGTTTGTTTAAAATCATAAAGTTATAAAGAAAAAATTTTTTTATGCATATGTATATAGGAAAAAAATGAATATTCCAAATAATTCTGAAAATTCAGAGCAAAATAACATAGAAAATAGTATAAATTTTTCAGATAACAGAAATAATAGTTATCTAGGGAATGATGATGGTAGTATTATAGATGATAATAACATAATAGAAGACGAATGTATTACACCAAAAGATGATGAAGAAAATGTAAATTCAAGAAAAAAAAAAAAAAATGATAAATTAAATAAAAACGAAAACAAAAATTTAAGGATAGGAAGAAATGAATCTAGAAATGAAACAAATTATCATCTCCAAAATGGTCACAATTCAAATATATTAAGTAATGCTATAAATAATGCAATAAATAATGTGATACATAGTGCAATAAATAATCGTAATAACCTAAATAATAATGTTACTAATACAATTTCAAATAACAACAATAATAGTAATATTTCTTACAATATGTTTTCATTAGATAATATTTTTGTTAATGAACCAAATAATTTTTTTTTACAAGATGGAGTACATGCAGAAAGTAACAACGCTGATGAACAAGAAGATGATGAAATTGAAGAACATCAAGGAAATGATGCAATTGAAAATGTAAATGAAGAAGAAGAAGAAGAAGATGATGATGAAGAAGAAAATGAAGTTGATGAAATTGAAGATGAAATAGAAGAAATTGATGAATATGAAGAAAGAGATGCTGAAGAATTTCAAGATGTGTCAGAAGAAAAAAAAGAATCAGTAAAAGTAGGACAACAGCAAAATAAAAAGATAAAAAAAAAAAAAAAAAAAAATGAAAATGAAGATCATATATTATGTAATAATGATAATGATTGCAATGAAAGTGTATTATTAAATAATGATATAATATCTATGTCAAATGAAAAATCTTTTTCTCATATTAACACATTAAACAGTGGAAAAGTAGATAACTTAACTTTATATTTACAAAAAGAATTAACTTGTCCTATATGTTTAGATTATTTTTATCTACCTGTAACTATGAATTGTGGTCATACTTTTTGCAGATATTGTATTGGTCATAATAAATTGAATGGCAAAAATTGCCCTTTATGTAGGCAACCATTAGGGCATACTTCATGTATTAATACAATTATATCTAATTTAGTACGCATTTATAATTTAAGAAGGAAATCATTAAAAATATATAAATCTATAGAAATAGTTAATACAGTAGACGAAATTTGGTGGAATGAAAATTTTATAAAACCACAAGTTAGTGTGTCTCTATTTTTAAGAATATTTTTGCATGACATGATATCACCACCTATCTTTTTTGATGATTTAACAGCATGTATCATTGATTTTTTTACGGTAAATAATTTATGGTCTAAAGCCAAATGGGTATTTAATATAAAAGATTGTAGAGTATTTAGCGAGTTAATAGGATACGACAAAGATGATAAAGAAACGACTAGCGAAAGATTGCATGCATGGGTTGAGAGATATATAACACAAAATCCATCAATGTGTATGAGAAAAGAAGAAAAAATTATATTAAAATTATATCAAGATAGAACACATAGAATAGATAGTCATATATTTGATTCTTCTGTATTACCTAATAGATTACCATGGGATGGTGGAAGACATGCAAAAAGTTTAATTCATATGCCGCATTCATCGGTTTCTCTTTCACATTTATTGTTTGTAAAAGCAGAAAACAATACCATTGGAGTGGTAGATTGTGGTTCAACAATTGGAACAATGATCAAAGTAAACAATTATCATATATTGAAAGAAGGTGATGTTATACATATAGGTGATAGATTAGAAGTAACGGTATCTATTGAGAAAAATACGGCAGGAATGCCATATAAAGGTTACGTGTGGAACAAAAATGCAAATAAAGTTTTAGACAGACATGAATTAAACGAGTTAATAAAATTTGAAACTAATAGCAATCAAGATATATATTTAACAGAAGATCAAATACCTTCTTATTGTGAAAATATTGAGTCAAATTTATTAATTAAATTTGATTTTGGCACAACAAAAGAAGAAATTACACCAAAAACTGAATACATTGATCCTAAGGGAGTTGTGTTAGGTAGAGGCCCATATGCCCAATCTAGTTATAAAAAAATATCAGTAACTAATTCAAATGGTTATGTATCAAGGGAGCATTGTTTAATTTACTATGATGGATCTAAACTAGAAGGGGAAAGGTGGCTTTTAAGAGATACTAGTACTTTAGGAACTTTTCTTAAAATAAAATCATATTCTAATCCAGTACCATTACCTATTGGTTCTATATTTAAAGCAGGTCAATGTAAAATAGAAGTATGTTCTCATGATACAGCACAATATATACAATATCCTGAAAGATCCTTATCATTACATAATACAAACAATGCTTCAAATTTAGATAATAACAATAATAATAATTTTAATAATAATTCAGATAACAGAAATAATGATAATGATAGTAATAATACTAGTAATAATAATAACAATTATAGTAGTAATAATAGTAACTATAACAATCATTCAAATAATGATCAAAATAATTATAACAATGAACAAAATAATAACAATAACAATAATGGAAATGATAATACTAATTTTAATGTTGGACATTTTAATAATCAAGACTCTTTACAAAATAGTGATCAAAATAGAAGTAGACAAGAATTATTAGATAATAATTGCCAAGAAAGAAATATGCAAAGTTTATTACAAAATAATGTTAATTCAGTGATTCATGAAAATAATGTTGTGTTATCATATAGAAATGAAAATAGGATTTCTAATAATTATTATAACCAAAGTCATGGTGATACTTATTTTTATAATTATCTAAGGAATAGCATAAATCACAATAGTAATAATAATAATAATAATAATAATAATAATAATAGTAATATTAATAATAATAATAATAATTTTAATAATTGTAATAATACTATTAATAGTAGTAATGGAATTAGAGAAAATGATGAAACGAATTACAACAGTAGTAATTATAGCTTCAATGGAAGTAATTATGATAATATATTTAATAATAATATAAACAGTAATTATAATGAAAATATATATAACAATAATATTGAGAACAATCATGTTAATATCAGTTATAATAACAACAGTAATAACAGTAGTAGTAGCAGTAACAAGCATGATTATATTAACGATAGTAATAGTAATGGTAAAAACAGTTATATTAATAATAATGATAGCAATTTATTTTATAAATATTACATAGATTATAATAATTATAAATATGAAAATAACAATTTTTTTCTTAATAACCATCAGGTAACTATAGATGAATATATTCCATTCAGTAGAAATACAGACTCCAAATTATTTTTTAATATTAACAACTCTGGTGAAAATAAGAATTTTAAAGTTAATATAGGAACTATATTAAATAAAGTTAAGCCAATAACAGATAATAGAAATGGTACAACCAATGAATCGAATGAAAATGCAAACACAAAAAATGTATATCTTATAAATTTTAAGAAAATAGAAAAACATAAAATTAATGAAGTTATACTTTATAAAAATATTAATAAAAATAATATAGAAAAAAAAAGTACCAAATATGCTTTTAAGAAGTATAATAATAATAATAATAATAAAACAGAAATATTCCCAAAGAAAAAAAGAAATCATTCGGAAACATTTCTGTATATGAATCAGATGAATAATAAGACGGAGTCAAATAAAAATATTAATAGTACATGTCATTCTATATATAACGATATGAAATCACTTAAACTAATATATAATTACATAAATAATTTACATATAAACAATAAAAAGAAAAGTACAAATGATAATAATTTAATTGATAATAATAAAAATTTAAAAGTATTAACTAAATCAAATGTGAATATCAAAAAATTTGATTCATTAAATATATATTCGGATGCTCAACTGCTTGATAGCACATATAGCAAATTAAGACAGAATGTTATAGTTGATAATACTAAAAATAAAAATATATTAGCCAATGAACATAACAAAACAAACCAGAATAGTTTGTTTCATTCTGTTAAAATGAATTAAAAAAAAAATTCACTAATAAATTTATTTGAGAAAATAAAAAAAGAAAAATTTATGCTCATTTTACACAAAAACAAATAATATGTACAAAAAAGAAAAAAAAAGGAATTAGTGTACTCATAATAATCCATATAAAAATGATGATTTAAAGATCCATATATGTAATATAAATAAATATATATATATATATATATATGTGCATTTAAGTTGACGTAAAAAGATATTCAAGAAACAAAAAAAAAAAAAAAAAAAAAAAAAAAATTTAGTAAAAATTTTAATATATATTTATATATTGATTATCAATTTTTCTTATTAATTTATTTTCTAAGTTGATGAATTATATAGAAAAATTAATATAAAAAATAAAACACGATAAAATAATTGATTATTCTTGTATATTAATTTATTTAATAATATATGTATATATATATATTTATGTGAATTATTAATTGATAAGCTTTATAAATTAACACATAAACTAAAGAGTTTATTTATAATTATGTTTTTAATATCATTGTTGCTTCGAATATATTTTCTATGTAATATTTATAAATATATTTTTTATATATTAATAAAAAAATATACCAGAAAATATAATAGAAGTAAAATTAATTTTATACATGAATGTTTTTTTTTTTTTTTTTTTTTTATAATATACATATATTTAAAAGTTTTTCATATATTTTTTAATAAGTAAAAAAATAATATAAAATATGAAATATAAAACAAGAATACGTATATATGTACATATGTATTTATTATCTAATTATTATGAAAACTATTTGTTAAATAATAAAAAAATATTATGGTAAATATTCTTTTTTTTTTCTTTTTTTTTTTTAAATTGTTTATTAAATTTTTTTTTTTTTTTTTTTTTCTATCAAAAACTGATGAAAAATACTATAATTATAGTATAAATAAAATTCATAATAAAAAATATTTAGAAAAAATTAAAATTCAACCTATTTTGAACTATATTTGTAAAACGAAGAATTAGTTTTAAAAAATATAAGTCAATGATGCATAATTTTGTATGCTACCTTTTTTTTTTTTTATGATATAATTTAAATATTTGCTAAAAACCAAAAGGATTTATTTTTAAGTAAAAAAAACAAGAAACAATTAACAATGTATATGATAAATATTTCTGTACATTTTTCAAAAAGCTACAAATATGCTAACTTTAATTTTTTTTTTTTTTTTTTTTTTTTTTTGGCTAACTATGAAATGTAAATTATAAAGATAACTCATCGAAAATGTAATTACTTTTTAAGTGTTATTTTATGTATTTATATATTTCATACTTAAATATTAGTAAATTTTTATTTAAATGTTTAATTTTTTTTTTTAATTTTTAGTCTAATTTTGTAATTTTGTTCATTTATATATAATTCTTATGTATTTTCATTATAAAATAATAAATTTTTTTTCTCTTTAATCATGTAAAAATATAAATATTGATTAAAGGATGTAAATACTTTTATTTAAAGAATAAAAATGAAAACGAAAGTAGGAAAATAAGAGAAGGTATAAATATATTTTGAAAAGCAATCGAGATAACAAAAATGATGATAAAAATAAAAAGAAAATGAAAATACAAATAATAATATTTTGTCTTTAATTCTTCTAATTCCAATTATCTTTTATTTTTTTAAAATTAAAGTATTAATATAATAAAATTATTACTATTTAAAAAAAAAAAAAAAGCAGAAAAACAAATATATCTATAAATATATTTGTATTATATAGATACACTTGTTTTATTTTTAATTTTTTTTATATTTGATGTCAATTTTATGTAATGATTTTTCAATTTTTTTTTTTTTTTTTTTTTTTTTTTTTCCAGCCATTTCATATATATTATTAGTTTAAATTTTCTTTCAATTTTTTTTATTATTAATTTTTATATTTAGATAAATCTATTCTTCTTTTTTTTGTAGCATGTTCTTCATCACTTATTCTAGAAATTGTTATTTTTGTAACTTCATCTTTTTCCTTATTTAATATCGCTTTATCAAACTCAGACTAAAAGAAAAAAGAAAATACATTTTTTTAATAATTTTAAAATAAAATAAAAAAATAATATAAATTACCTTCGTAGTAATAACTAATTCCTTTGCTTTGGTTTGACTTCCTAGTTCTTTTCCTTCTTCTCCTTCTTCTTCTATTTGTCTTTTTAAATCATTTATTTGAATTTGAACATCATCATAAGTATCTCTTATAATTTTTTCGTTTGTATTTTCTGGTAATGGTGTTGTTTTCTGTCTAACATCTAATAATATCTTTTTTACTTTTTCAAAATATTCTACAGCTCCTTTTCTTTTTCCACAAAACATATAACTTTGAGATAATGATATCAAAGGAGCAATTAAATTTTCATCTCCTACCTTGTGTTTTTCTCTTAATTCAACACATTTTTCATATTCCTATGTAAAAATATTTTCAAATAATAAGAAATAAATGTAAACACTTTTTTTGTTTTTATATTTTATTTTATTTTTTTTTTTTTTTTGTTTACTTTCAAAGCTTCTGGAAAAAAATGATTTAACAAATTAATATCTCCTAATCTTATAAAAACATACGTATAATTCAATATATCCTTTTTAGGTACTTCTTTATTTTTTTCTATTAATAACTCATAACATTTTCTTGCAAACTCAAACATCTCAAATGCCAACTGATTTTAATAATAAAAAAAAAAAAAAATATATATACATAAATTTTTGTAGTTTTTGAACTTTCTTGAAATTAAAAAATTATATATCTAGAATTAGGTATATCTAATAAAAAAAAAAAAAAAAAAAATTCTTACTTGTTCATCTGTAACTTCTTCTTTATCCGTTATGTCATCTAAGTCTGGTACTTCAATTTTTTTTTCTATAGAAAAGAAAAGAAAAAAGAAAATAAGTATGTGAATTAAATAAATAATAACTCATATTTAATTTCTATATAAAATAATACTTATTTATATTGTAAATTTTACTTTTTTTTAAAAATTCAAATAAATCATTTTTTTCTTCTTCTTTAGTTAATAAAGCATCAGCAAAACATAAATAAAATTCTCTTAAATCTATGTGGATATTTCCCTCTATTTTTAATTCTTTTATTCTGTTAATAGTATAAACATATTTGTTAATATATATATGAATTTAAAAAATATATTTTAACTATTTTTAATTAAAAATGAAAAAAATAAAACATAAAAAATATTGTACTTTTTCTCAACTGCCATAGAAAAACGCTCTGCTGCCACTTCATAATTTTTATTTTCTTTAAATTCTAACTTTCCCATATCAAATAATTCATTAGCCGTTCTTTTTTTAAGCAATTCTAAAATATATAAGGATAATTATATGTATTTACGCAGATAGATATGTAATAATTTAATCATTTTTATTGCTATTTTTAGAATATATTTAAAATTTTATATTTTTTCTTCATATAAATAATCTTATTTCTTCTATTTATATATCTATTTATTCAATTAAAAATATTTAGAGAAAATTAAAATAATAACCTTTTTGTTCATCCACTTCAGATTCAACATTTGCATTAGAACTATCATCAGCAGTTATTTCTTGTTCTACATTAATAAATGAATACAATAAAAAAAAAAAATTGAAAAAATACAAAATAATAATATTAGCTTCTATTTTCTATATTTTTTAATATAATTTAAAAATAATTCAAGCACCTGACATTTTTCTACATAAAAGAATGAAAAAAAAAAAAAAAAAAAAGAAAACCCTTTATTAAATATTAATTTCTCCTTTTATTATAAATCTGGAAATAAAAATTCTTAAAATATACGTATATATATATATTTATCTTCGTGGAAATATTTATTTTTTTTTATAATACATACAAAATCATATATATGCATATATTATTTTTTTTAATTCCTTTTAATTCAACTAAATTTTCTTTTATAATATTTTATTAAAAAATCAACAAATAATCTTTATTTAGTAAAAATACAAAATAATTATTTTACTGAAATAACTATATAAAAGCTATTAATTATTTTTAGAGTAAAAATTTAAATAATTAATAAATATGCTTATATATATAAAACAAGAAAAAAAAAATATATATATAAATATATATATATATATTTATATACATATAATATTATTGGTAAAAAATTTATTAATAAAATTTTTTCTCAATTATATAACATTAATACTTTAAGTATATTCCTTTTCATCTTTTTTTTTTTTTTTTATTTTTTAATTCTTAAATATTTATTCTATCATCATTATGATTATTTATTTTTTATTTTTTTTTTTCTTTTTTATTCTTTTATGTCTTAATATAAATAATAGGAAAAAAATTCTAACTTTTTCTTTCTTACAGTATAATAAAATTAAAAAGTTAAATAATAATATCATGCAATTTTTGCTAGTTAAAGCTTATTGAAATATTTTTAAATATCATAGATTCTCTTTTTATATATTTTTTTTTTTTTTTTTTTTTTTTTTTTGATGGAAAATTATAACTCTTATTATTTTACAAATACTCCATATATTATTTAAATTAAGTATATTATGGTATGCTTTTCTAATTATTTCTTATTTAAAAATAATTATTTTAATTATTAAAATTATTACTTTACTAAAGTTTTATAATTTGAAATGAGTTCGCTTATTATTCCAAATACAAATATGTATTAATTTATATTAGAAAAAATATAAGTGCAAGAATATTTAAAATAACTTGTATTCCTATGAAATTATATTAACTAATTTTAATTAAATATAATAAATATATATATATATATATATATATATATATGATAATTTAAAATACATTATATTTCAAAAAAAAAAAAAAAAAAAAAAAAATTAGACATGTTATTTCTATTTATACAGCTAGAAACAAGAATAAAGAAAAATACTCACAAAGTAAAATAAAATTAATCAAAATAATGAAATAATTATTTTGCATTTAAAAAGAATACTTAAAAAAAAAAAAAAATTTTTTTTGATGTTTTCCTTATACATAAAAATAAAAAAAAAAGGAATATTTTTATTGTAATGATTTACATCTTAGCAAAAATATTATACTTAATTTCTTTTAAAAAATGAAATTAAATTTATTAAAGAATCAAAGTAATATATTTTTACAAATATGTATATATATATATATATATGTATATATTTATAAATAAATTTTTTTTTTTTTTTTTTTTTTTTTTTTTTCTGTATCCCTATATATATATATTTCTTATATTTATATATTTTTTAATTTATAATTTTTTTTTTTTTTTTTTTTACAACATACACTTTTTAAATTCATGTTTTCTTAATTTTTTATTCTTCATGTATATTAAAATGAAAATACTTAAAACTTTGTTATCATTAAATTACTTTGCAAATATACGATATAATTTATCAACTTATAAAAAATTATTTATTGAAAATGGTTGTTTAAAAAAGAATATATGTGAAACTGATAATAAAAAAAAATATTATATAATTAATAAAAAGGATATTTGTACTAACGTTATAATAATACCATTATATAAAGATAATTATTCATACATTTTTTATGACAATAAAGAAGAAGGGGTAGCAGTAGACCCAAGTAATTATAAAATAATTAATGAAATATCAGAAAAGGAAAATATCAAAATAAAAAATATTCTTTGTACACATAAGCATTATGATCACAATAGTGGAAACTTCTTTTATTTTAATAAAAAAATAAATGTTTATGGTATTAAAGAAAATGATAATGAATATATAAATAAAAACCTTAATAATATTAGTAATTTTGAAATAAATAATTTTAAAATAACTACATTTATATCTAATTTTCACTGTAAAAATCATATTTCTTATTTAATTGAAAATTCGAGAAATAAATTAAAAAAAATTTTTTTTACTGGCGATTTTTTATTTATATGCGGAATTGGAAGAAACTTCGAATCTAATAATAATGATTTATATAATTCTATAAATAATTTAAATAATTTAGATAAAAAAAATACCTACATTTTTTGTGGTCATGAATATACACTTGATAATATAAAATTTGCTTTGAGCGTTGATTCATTTAATAATAATTTAAAATCCTTTTATGAAAAAGTGAAAAAAGATTGTAACACTCCTACAGTTCCTTCTTTGTTAGAAGAAGAATTTTTATATAACCCTTTTTTGAGGTATAACGATGAAAATATAAAAAAGTCTATTAAAAATTATGCTATGAAAAACAATTATGTAATTAAAAAAAATAGTGATTATCTCATTCTTTTAAGAATAATGAAGGATAATTTTAAATTAACATAACATTTTTATTTCATTTTTCTTATAAAAATTTTTATGAAATGTTACTTTATTCAAAAATTTTTTCTATTTATAATCTTTGATATCACAAGTTAAATTTTTTATATTTTATCATTAATATAATTTTTTAAAAAAATAAAATATCCAAGTTTTATAAAGGTAACTCTTTTAAATGGAAGAGAAAAAGTAAATATTATGAATATTAAGTGTTTTAAAGCGGAAATAACCAAAAATCACAACACTTAAAAATATAGAAATTACAAAAATAAAAAAAAGAATTGAAAAAATGCTTTTATTATAATATGCAAACATTTAATTAAAAAAATTTTTTTAATATTTTATTGTCTTTAAAAATTGTAATAATCATTTTAAAAAAATGTATATTCTATATTGTTAATAATTGTAAATTTTCCTTATTTTTTAAAATTTAAAACTATTTAAAATGTACATATAACCTTTTATAAGATGTAAAAATAAAGGTTCTTCACAAAAAAAAAAAAAAAAAACAAAAAAAATTCTGCTTAAGTACTAACATTTTATTTTTTTTTTTTTTTTTTAATCTCCTATTATTTAAAAATAATTTTTAAATTTTTACGTAAATATATTTTTTATAATATTTACATTTTAATGTAATTTATATTAATAAATACAATAAAGAGAAATTTGAGTAAAGAAAATAAAAATAAAATTTTAATGAAAAAAAAAAAAAGAATCTAAAATGTAATTATATGTATATTCAAAATTTCTTTTTATTTCATTTTTGTAATAAAAAAATAATCATTAAAATAAAAATTTTTTTTAAAATTTCTTATTTTTTCTACAAAATATATGTAATTTTTTTTTTTTTTTTTTTTTTTTTTTTTATAAATTATATTATTTTACTTTTTCTGCAGCAATTTTATTTAAATTAATTATATATGAAAAAAAAATTAAAATGAAAAATTGTGAGTTCATAAAAAATATAAGAATAAAAAAATTTTACTCTAATATAATTTAATAAAATTAATACATGTAAACTTTTGTATTTAAAACTGTTTTTTCTGTATTTTGTTAATTTTTTTTTTTTTTTTCTCCTTTATATTTTTAAATAAATGATTTTATTTAAAATACACAAAATATATATAAAAAAAAAATGATCTTAAAAAATAGTTTTTATTATACCTTTTTAAATAAAGTTTATTATTTTTAATTCTATTAAATAGAAAAAAAATTTTTGATTTCATAAAAAGTTATGAAAAATTAAAAATATAAAAAACATGGAAGGTGACTATGAGATACATATGAAAAAAAATGAAAATTTATTAAATGAAAATACAATAAATGATTATGATTTGTTATATTTAAATAAGCATGGCAAATATAAAGAAGATATTCAAGATAGCCTTCTTGTAAGCAAAAATAAATCATCAGTTATTCATCCATTTTTTGCAAAGGATAACCATTTTAATGAAGATGTTATTAAAAAAAATTATTTAAATGAATATGAACATAATGAAGAAAATATATTAAAAAAAGAAAAAAAACATGATTTATTATTTAATACATATAATAAAACACATGACTGCACAAATATAATAAAAAATAAAGATAATATAATCGAACCCTTCAACAGTAATAATATTGATAAAAACAATATTAACATTCAGAATAAATTAGATAAAGATAAATTAATTAATCAAAAAAATGAAAACAGTGAAAGTAATAAAAAAGAAATGAGTAATGATGTAAATAAAAATGATATGATAGATAACAGTTTAAATAATGAAGCGCATAAATTTTATAGTACCAATATAAAAGAAATAAATAATTTTTCTATTTTGAATAAATTAAAATGCTCTGATGATAATGATCATAATAAAAAACATAAACAATTTAATAATGATTTAATAAATAAAGAAGAAAATAATAATGATTTAATTAATAAAGAAGAAAATAATAATGATTTCATTAATAAAGAAGAAAATAATAATGATTTAATTAATAATACTAGTAACATTGAAAAAGTTTATAATATTATTAATAATAATAAATATACATATAATGGAAGAAATTATGATTCTCTTTCAGAAAACAATGTGATAGATACAAATATAACAACAAATTCAAATCATACTAATATTCTTAGTAATGATAATCATTATATTAATAATTTCAATTCTAAAAATGAATGTAATTTACTTAAAGAAAAGTGGAATATTAGTTATTCTGATTTTTCAACGAAAATAAAAAAAATAGATATTTATGAAAATGTTAATTCAAATTTCCCCAAAAAAAATGAAAATTCTTATGAAGATAAGGAATTGAAAGATATCTTTTTGTATAAAAATAGCAAAAGTAGAAAACTTTCAGATAGTATTATTTCTGTAAAGAAAAAAATAAAAGATAATGATTTTGATACAAAAAGTACTGATGGCAATTTTTTCGTTGAAAATACTTTAGAAAAAATAAGTAACGAATGTATTAAAGGAAGTAATGTAAATATTTTAAACAAAGATAATTTAAATAATAATGATAAATTAAGTGATTTTACAAAAATTAAGGATAAAAGTACTATTAATACTAATGAATATATCAATATTAATAATAATAATGAGAGTATAACTATAGAATCTAATAATAATGCATTAAATAATTCATATAGTAATAAAAATATAGGGAATAATTTTATAAATAAATTTAATACTTCTATTGAAAAAAATGGTGAATATACTTATAGTAATTTACATATAGACCAAAAATCAAATAATTTTTTAAACCAATCTTTAAATGATTCGAGTAATAACTCAAATATAATATCTGTAAATACATCATATAAAAAAAAAGAAACTAATTCTTCTAATAATTTTGATTATACTGATCCTACTATTAATAAGGTTATTGATAACGATATTATGAATATTGCAAAAAAATATTATGAAAAATATCCCAATCATTTTTTGAAAAATGATTATAATTTGAATAATGTAAAAACTAATTATGATGAAAATGACAAAATAAATGAACATAATTATGATATAAAAAATAAAGATCAAAATTATAATAGTATTAATAATGTAAATAATTTAAATAGTAATATTAATAATGATAATAACAGTAAAGAAAAAGAAAATAGCGATAACAAGAATGGTAGCGATAGTAATAATAATAATAATAATGAGTATGAAAATATAAACAACAATAGTGAGAGTGATAAAAAAAGCAAAGAAATTAATGATAATAACAATAAAGAAAATAGTGATAATAATAATAAAGAGAAGAGTGATTATAATAATAAAGAAAATAATGGTAATAATGATGAAAATGAAAACTATAAAAAAAATCATAATCATAAAGAGAACAATAATTCAGACAAATTAAAAAAGAATATTTACAAATTCTACTTTGATAAAATAAATGAACTAAAATCAAATGAATTCATAAAAAGACACAAGAGTTCAGAAAAATTTATTAAAAAAAAAATATTTAATTATATAAGTAAAAATAACATAATTACTATTATAGATAACATGTCTATTTATGTAAAAAATATTTATTATATAATTATAAAAAATGACAAAGTTATATTTTATTTCATTTTTAGTACCAATAATGTTATGAATGCTATTATAAATCTTGAAAAAATGATCACAGTAAGTTATAACGAAAAAAGTTTTTTATTATATTTTCTTTTACACGAAGAGGATTTATATATGAAATTGTTTAATCTTATAAATATGAAATTTGAAAAAGAAGAACTTATATTAAAGTTAAAAAATCTAAAAAGAAAGATAAGAGAATTAAAAAGTAAAGAAGAAAAAAATATGTATAGTAATAGTCTTGAGGAGCTTTGTATCATGAAGAACAAAGAATGTTTCAATAGTTTTTTAAATAAAAAAATTCATGATCATAGCTATAACTTATTTAATCAAAAAAATTCAATGCTAAAGTTATCTTTAAAAAATTTGGTTCCCAAATTATATAATTGCAGTGATTTTAATCGAACAAAAAATTTAATTAATAATATGTTTAGAAATATGAAAAAGAATATTACTATTAATAATATAGAGAAAAAAGAAAAGAAAAAAGATATATATAATCAGATGGAAAATAAAATGGAAATAAAAAAAAAAACTATAAGAGGAATAACTTCTTTTACATTGTTTGCAAGAGAAAAGAGAAAAGAACTTTTAAATCAAAAAATATTTTTAGGTAGTTCATTAACAGAACAAACATCTGCAGTAGCTAAAATATGGAATAATTTAAGTGATGAAAAGAAAAAGGAATGGGCTATTAAGGCTTCTAAAATAAATGAAGAAAATTCTTTATTGCAAAAAAAAAAAAAAAAAAGAAAATTTACTGCTTTTAGTATATTTGCTAGAGAAAAAAGAAAAGAATATAAAGAGAAAAATATTAATATGGGATTAACATTAGCTCAACAAAATTCCCATGTATCAAAATTATGGAAACAATTATCTAATGAAGAAAAAAATAGATACAAAATATTATCAAATACTGTTAATGCAACTTTAGCAAAAAATTGTAAAAATGATATTAATTTTATTAATGGAGAAAGAGTTAGTGGTTTTAAAGGTAGGATTAAAGCGTTAGATAATATGATTGCACAACAATTAAATAACAATAGTATTATAAATAATAATGTAAACAGCTTACCAAGTTGTGATAATAAAAAAGATAAAAAGAACATTAACTTAAAAAAAAAAAAAAATCAAGAATTTAATGAAAATGCAGGAATCATAAAAAACTATTTAAATAAAAATATGAATTCTATTTATAATAATGTTCAAAATACTCCTCCAAATTACATTAGCAACAATAATGATATTAATATGAATCATAATTATATTAATGAACATAATTCCAATGATTTATTTTATAATCAAAATAATACTAGTTTAAATAATAATAATTATTTAGATTACATGAATAATAAACTTAACCGTTTTAAAACACCACCAAATGACAATAAATCTTTAAATATTAATATTAGTAACATAGGTATTAGTGGAAGTAATGACAAAGTTAATATAGATGATAATACTATGAATAATATAAATAATGACATGAAAAACAATGTTGTAAATAATTCGACAAATGTAAATAAAAATAACTCAATTAATAATGAATTAAATGATAATTTTGTAAATAATTCAATCTTGTTTAATAATAATGAAGAAGATAACTATACACTTCAAAAAAATGATAAAAGTTATAATGGATATATGAATGGAAATAATAATATAATTAATAACAAAGGCATTAATTTTAATAGTGGTATTTTAAATAACCCAAATGTAAACAATATTGAAAACCTAGATATAAGAAAACAAAATTTGAATAATGATATTGGTATAAGTAATACTCATTTATTAAATCAAAACACAATAAAAGATAATTTAAATGATAAATATGTGGATACAAAATGTTATAATGATAATATTTACAACAAAAATATAAATAATGAATTAAATTACAATGAATTTATGAATTATAGATTACATGGAAAACAAATGAAAGATGAATTTCATAAAATGAAAAATAGAATAAAAAATGAAGAAATGTTAAAAAAAAAATTAAAGAAAGATGAAAAACAAAAATTAAAAGAAAAAAAAATGATGATGAAATTGTATGACAAAAGAAGAAAGCAATTATTAAAAGCAGAAAAAATGATGGAAAAAAAAAAAAAAAACAAAAATAAAATAACAGAAAATTTAAATGAAAATTATATGTATTATTCCAATTTAATAAACAGCAATGCTAATAATATAAATGCAAATCCTTTTGATGTTCCTAATACATTAATGAATAACACAATGGTTAATAATTATAACTTTTATTCAAATATAGATAAAACTGAGAACAATATAAACAGTAGTAATAACAATAATAATAATAATATAATTAATTTTAACAATAATAATACATGTGATTTAAATAACACTTTAAATGATGTGCAGAATTTAAATAAATTAAACAATAATAATTTTTCTTCATTTGATTATATGAATAATTTTACAGTTGATATGGGAAATAATAAAAGCTATAAACTAAGTAATGACAATAATGAAAATATGAATAACCTTATAAAGAATTTTGAAAATAATAATCATAATGATAAAACAAACAATGATTCTCATAATAAAAGCTTACATAATAGTATAAGTGAACAAACAAATAAAAATAAAATGAATAATTTAGATAATATGTGTAATACAAACAATTTAAATGATGAAAATTTTTATCAAAACAGTTACAATGAATATAATTACAATGCCAATTATTATAACGAGGTCAGAAATAGTTCTTCTATGCTTAATAAGAACAATTATGATAAACTCATTAATTCTAGTAATATAATTAATATAGATGAAAAAACAAATAAAGAAAAAAATATAGATCTGAATAATTTAAATAACTATAACAAAATTATGAATGTCGAAGAGGTAGATTATAAGGAAAATGAACAAATATATAATAATAATGAAATAAATTACTCTCAAACCGAAATAAATTTTAACTATTATGATAAAAATATAAATAAATATTTTTATAATAACAACCCAATCAATTATAATATATATAATCCATCCATCAACAATTATAACAACATCACAAATGATAATAATTACAAAGAAAAAAGAAAATTCAATATATGTTCTAAAAATTTTAAAAATGAAACAGAGAATAATATAAATTCTAATGATAATTCTAGTTATAATGAAAAAATTAATTTAAATTCTGAATATTATGAAAACAATTCCAATCATAATGATTACAATAATTTAAATAATTATATGAATAAGCAGACAAATATGAACCTAATTAATCCTAAAAATATGGATGAAAAAATTAAAATTTTTAAAAATGACAATGAATTAAAAAGAATTGAAACTTCGGAAAATTCTATTCACATCAATGATAAAAATGAAAAAAAAAAAATAGATGCAAAATTAAATACGAATATTGTTATGTATGGAGATAAAGATTTTATGTTATTAAATAAAAAAAAAGATGAATTTCCAATTAACAATAACTCAAATAATAATTATATTCAAAATAATTGTATATCAATTAATAAACCTTCTGCTCTTTTTAATTCCGAAAAATCTTATAAAGAAAACTCAAATGTAAATCATTTTTATGATATAAATAATTGTATTGTAGAAAATAATAAAAATTTATATTATTATAGTAATGGTGAAGTAATTAATAAAAATGAAATTAATATGAAAAGTTCTAATGATTACCTTAACAATGATAAAGAAAATATAAATTTAAAAAATAATGAAATTTTTAATATAACGGAGGAAGATTATAATAAAAATAATATTTGTAAAAACATAAATCAAAATAATGAAATGGAAAAAAATCATCTTATTGATAAAAATTATTACAATCAGAAAAATATGAAATTATTTTTAAAAAATAATTCTAATAATAATGATATTCCAGACAATAATTCTGATAAAAATATATTCAAAAATAATAATGAAAATAAGGAATTAAATGACTATTATTTTAATGAAAATATAAAAAATAAAAATAAAATTAACAATGATTTTTATGATAGAACGATAAATAATAATTATAATTGCTCCACTTTAAATAGCACACATCATGCCAACTTAAATGATACAATAAATAATGATTTAAACAATCACATTAATTTTAACAATAATAATTATGTTAATAACAGTAATAATAATAATAAAAATAATGATACAAATTATTATTATCTTTATAATGATACAAGTGTAGATAAATATAAAGATATTAATAAAACATATAATTTAGTAAATAATATGAATGTACCTTATAATATTATTAAAAAGAATAATACTGATAATTTAATATATAAATTAAATAAAGATAATAATAATGAAATAAATTCAAATGATTTAATAGACAATTTTCCATACTATAATACTCATGATTCTTTTAATAATAAGAACACTTTTGTTTCAAATTTGAATACAGAATCAGTAAATAAACAATACTTCTTTAATAATTCAAATAACAGTAATAATAATTGCATTAGCAAAATGAATGATTCAAATATGTATAACAATACAGATATGAATTGTTTAAAAAATTCAAATAATTTAATATATTGTTCTGAACAAATATTTTCAGAAAATAAAATGAATGATAACCTTGTATATTATAATTCGGTAAAATGAAAATTCTTATATATATATATATATATATATATATATATATATAATAAAATTAATATAGTAAAAATTAATGAATTTTTATAATTTTTATCAATATATATTAATTAATTTCCTTTATTAAGTAAATTCTGTTAAAATTATTAAATATAATTTTATATACTTTTAAGTATATTTTTCTTTTTTTTTCATTAAGAATTTAGATAAACCTCAAAATAATTTAGAAGATACAGAAATTATTCCACTAAAAGAAAAAAAATTTTTTAATAGTGAATCTCACTTTTTAGAATTAATAAATAATAAAATAAGAAAAAAAAAAAAAAAAGCAAGTTCTACCAATACTTTTAATGGTAATTCTAAAATTCAAAATATGTTTTATATGTGAAGGTTGTATATTTTATATTCACATATTTTATACAGAGTATATTTATAGTATGTATATATATATATATATTTTTTTTTTTCATATAGAAGGAAATTGTACCATATGGGATCTTGTATTAAAAAACAACAAAAAAATAAACAAAAAAAAAGTCACGAAAAATAAGAATGAAGAATACAGTAACAACCATTTAAACGAAATATCAATAAAAGGAAATGAAACTAATGATAAAAATTTAATAGCTTTAAATAATGAAGAAAACATAAACATAGAAGATAATAATAATACGAATATAGAAAATGAAGACTGTGTTAATGATATTTTGAATAATATAAATGAAGAAAAAATAAATTTACATAATGAGAAAGCAGATGAATTAGAGGAAAACGATAAAACTAATTTAGACAATGTAAGTGAAGATAATTGTGATGATTTTTTAAATTTGTTGAATGTATGTTCATCGAATTTCTCTAACAAGTTAAACATAAACGATAATGGAGAACTAATATATGATGATAAAAAGAAGTATACAACAAATTTAATGAATGAAAATTCAAATAATGATAATTTAAGTTTGTTAATGCAAAAAAAAAATAAAATTAATCAAAATTTGAATAAATGTCAAATAGAAAAATACAAAAATGCATATAAAAAAACGAAATTGTGCAAATGGAACAATGAAGAAACCAATAAATTTTATCAAGCAATTGAAATGTTTGGTGTAGATTTAATGATGGTAAGAGCGTTAATACCAAAATTTTCAGATAAACAAATTCGTGATAAATATAAAAGAGAAAAAAAAATGAATCCTCGTAAAATTGAAGAAGCTATAAAAAAAAACAAAGAAATTAATTTGGATGCTTATGAAAATGAGCATGGAAAAATTGATAATTCAACACATTATAAATATTATCAATCATCAAGTGATAACGGTATATATATATATATATTCATAATTTTATACAAGTTACTTTATATTTTTAATATTATATTTACTAAAATATATAACATCTTCGAATTACAAATATATATTGATATAATTATATAATATATTCATTTTTCTTTTTATAGATAATAATGATAAAAAAAAAACACCGATTTTAAATGAATCAGAAATAAATATATTAAATATTTTTGATAGTAAAACAAATGATATTGATACTAATGATTATTCTTGTAATCAAGAAAATTCTGATTTTAATATTTTAACCTTGTTTTAATTTTTATTTTATACATCAATAATATTTATTGTAATCAGGATACCCTCATTTTAACATTTTAAATGTTATAATTTTATATTTATTATATTAATTATTATTAATGTATTAAAAAAATATATGATTTAAAAATTTTAAGTTTGTTTAATATGAATGCATAATATATGTTTTTTATTTTTTTTTTTATTTTAATATTATATATGCTTTCAACAGTCATTAATTTCTTCTCCTTTTTTTTTTTTTTTTTTTTTTTTTTTTTTAAATATATATAATGCACTAGCTTATAAAGATTGTATACTTTATATATTTTTTTTTTTTTTTTTTAAATAATAAAAAAAACTACAGAATATCATAGTAATGTATACATGTGTGTATATAATTATTGAAATATTAATGATAATTATTATTTTAAAATTAACTAATAGTTCCTACATATTAATATTGGTTTTCTGATATAAAAAATTATAATAGTGATAAATAAAAACCTTTTGAAAAATTATTAATTCATGCAAACTTTTAAAATAAAAAAAGAAAAAGTAAAACAAAATATAATGCAAAAATTTCCTTATATTCCCCTACCTTAATATACATTTATTAAATTTAATTATTTCCTAATATTATCTCTTAATATATATATATATACTATATTTTCATAATATTTCTTATATATTGTTTGTCTATTGAAAAATCCTCTTACATATCAAAGTTAATTAAATTAAAAATATCTTTTAATTTCCTTTTATAATCTAAATGACTATGTATGATACCACTTGCATCATAATTTTCCACATTTGGAACTTTCACAGATATTAAACCTGCAACATTTATTTTCCATTCCATATATCTATATAAAAATCCTAATAACCAATCATTTTTTGAATAAACATTAATTACACGATTAGTTACGACCATTCGAATTTTTTCCCATACTCTTACACTAGTCGTTGCAGGTAATCCAATAAAAATAGCGTTACTCACAATATTATATAACTTTTTAGCATACAAATATTTTAAACAATAAAAAATAACACGAGCTCCAACGGAATAACCAATTAAAATAACTGGTCTTTGTCCTACTGTATTTTTATCACTTAACGCATCCGCCAATATTCTACCAGCTTGTTGAGCTCTTTCTCTTATCAATAAGTAGACATTATCTAAATTTGATGCATATTTAATAAGTGCCAATGGCCATGTTAAAGCAGCGCTTAACGTACTAGCTATAGTGTACTGTAACCATATTTTACTAGCCGTTATTGCAAATTCTTGAGATAACATTGTCTCAATTAAAGATCCTAATGTTTTTAATAAATGATTTTCCCATTTCAAACAATATAAATCACAATAACAATTCGGGAAAACATCTAACCATGGCTGGGTTATGTCATCATCACTTTGAATTTCACCACTAACACATACACATACACTAAGTGATTTAGAAATATTTCCATTTAACATAATGAATTCAAAAGTTTTTATATTAGCTATTCTTCTACTGTATTTATAACCAGTTAATCCTGCCCCACCTGCACCAAATAAAGAAACAATAAAAGCCAAACCGCTAGCTGAAGCTAAAAAAGCAGTTAAGCTACTTCCACCTGCACCTAATGCTGTTAAACCTGCAATTATACCTGGAGCAGCTAAGCCAGCTGTAAATGCAATTAAAGCACCACCACCTAATGCAGCAAAAGCTATTTTAATTCTTCTAATTTTTTTTTTTTTTGATGTTTCATTAGTTGATGCTTGTAAAGCACTTATTAAATCTGCAGCAAGATTTTCTTCTATTCTTAATATTAAAAGTTCATTAATTTTTAAGCATTTTGCAAATCTCTGAAAATACAATTGTATTCTAGCATTATTATTTCCTGTCATTATATATGTTGTAATTAAATCCCTTAATAATACTGATTTTACTTCTGGGCTTTTCATAGGAACTCCATGGTTCAAATGTTTTTCAATATCACTCTCATCATAAAAACTTTCACAATCAATTGTATCTTTTTCCTTATTATTTTTTTTTATTTCTGATTTGATCATGGAATTTTCGTCTATATATTCACTTGTACATTTTTCATTAATTATTTTTGTACATTCTTTTTCCTTATCTTCATTTAAATTTAAACTTAAGTTTTTTTCACATAAATTTATTCCATTTTCATTTACATTTTTATTTTTAATTATTTTATTAGAACTTTTATTACTATCACTTTCATCATTTTCTTTTGTTTCCTCTTCATTTTCATAATTCTTACTAATGTCATTATTATTTTCATTATATTTTTCATTCAAACTATTTTCATCTTCATTCACATCATCATTCTTATTATTATTACTTTTACTTATTACCTTTTTTTCATTGTTACACATATGATCATCTTCAATGTATGAAGAATTCAAAGAGATTGTGTTAAAAGTTAAACTATTTTTTTTTTCATCAGTGTCATCTTCTTTATTGAAATATTCAGAAGTATTAATATTTTGATTATTTTCTTCTTTGCTCAACGAAAAATAATTATTTATTTCTTCAAAATTATATGTTTCATTTTTTTCTTTTGGAATAAAATTTTTATTTAAAAAAGGATCATTTTTTACATCTCGTTTAGTATCTTCATATTTTTGTTCAATGTCTTGTAAATTGTCGCCTTTTATAAAATCTCTTCCTTCACTCATTTCCTCATTTGGATCTTCAATATGGTCATTTTGCCAAAAATCCATTTCATTATTCAATTCTTCCACAACTTTTTTAAATTGAAAATCAATATTTGGTTGAAGATCATTTATTTTGCTTAATAAGTTATCAACAAAAGGTTTTTCATATAATTGATATATTTTTTTATCTCCTGTTATATCTCTAATAATCTTTCTCTGTTCTAATGGTTTAATTATACATTGATAAGCTAAAGGATCAATTAATAACAAATCAGATAATTGTTTTAAAAAACCTTTTGATAAATCTTCTAAATGACTTTGAATTTCTATATCATCAAAAGAATCAATATGTTTTATTATAATGCATGCAAATAATGCCAAAATATTTTCTTTAATTTCTCTTGGAATACTTGCAAACTTATCATTATTTATAGGAATGTATTGTAAACGTAAAGCTTCTAAATTAGCATTTAATCTTTTTTTTTGTAGTTTCTTTTCTTTTTTTTTTATATAATCAACTGTTTCTTTCTCTAAGGTATCAGGCAAATTATTCAATATACATTTATTATAAATTCCAGATATAGAGGCATTTTTGATAATAGAGCTATTTTTAAAATAATTTAACTCATCTTTGTTATCACCAATATCATTTTTCAATATATTTTCAAAGGTTTCTTCATTTGAATTTTCTTTAAGAATTTTTGAAGTATCAATATTAAAACAACTATAATTTTCTTCAATTTTTATATTTAATTCTTTTGAATCTTTATCATCATTTATATACACGTTATTCTGTGGAATATTATCACATAGACTTTTTAAAAATGCTTCTTCAATTTCAGCATTCTTTACAGGACTTATATCATTTAAATATACTTTTCCTTCTTCTATCTTTTTCTTAATATTTTTATCAATTCCCTTAACTACATGAATAGATTCAACTGTTAATATTGTTTTATTAGATCCTTGAAAAATTTGTTTTTCACTTATATAATCATCATCACTAATATCAGGGTTATAGTTATTTTTTAACATTACTTGAAAAAAAAATTAAAATAAAATAAAGCAAAATAAAGTAATATGTACAAATATATATACTAATATTTATACAAAAATGTTAAGATATTTTTATCTTATACTTTTTTACAAATCTAATTCTCTATTTAAAAAAAAAAAAAAAAAAAAAAAAAAAAAAT